ACATGCACTGCCACAGGTACTGATGCACATGAATCATAGATCCGATAACCAAGCTCGATTCCAGGCAGCAGGTCTGTGCTGTTGTTAATCTCTTCTATGGCAAAGACCATCGAACTTGTCGATTGCAGCTCAACAGTGTCAATGCTGTAAACAATCATGTCATTTTAAAATTTTGACTGTCGATTCAGGTAAAGATATTATACGTGATAAATTCAGCTCAGTGGCAATAATGTTGCAAACAGATAGTTTAGGTACATCAAATCACTGCCTGACCAGTTAAATTCAGCACAGAAATATGACTCAGAAATCAATTTAAAATTATAGATAAAAATTTACTGTTAAATATTTACAATATAAGTAAAAATTCAGTTCTGAAAACACAAAAACACTATTTTAAAAATCTAAATGACTTACTATTGTTAGAAGAATTATATTATAAATACTTATATACTGTGAATCATCATACATGTGAAAACATTTTTAATTTTACATAGTCCAACGTGTTTGTAGCACCCTCTTCTTCCACTTACTAACCTTCCTTTGCATTTCACAGGTGCAGGCATATTGGTATAGTTATTATAAGCTGTTTGCGTGTAAGAGTGAAGGGAGAAAGTGCCGCCAATAATGAAGTCCCCATCCTTTGAGAATGCAGGTGGACGTGTGCTACCCTGCAGCTTACAATTCACAGATGATTCCACAGTACCAACCTTGGTGCCTGTAAGCATAGCCCTTTGACTCAGATCATCTAGACACACAGCCAAGGCTGTGTTCAGGTGAAACAAACACACAGCCAATACCAGACAAATTATAAGATCATCCATCCCGCATTGATGTCAGTTGTGTGTATATGGATGGAAATGCTTTTTTACTGGATTATATAGCCCTTCAGACAAGATTTTTTTTAATGATCACTGGGACATCCCCTTTCTTGGTCATCTTTGAGTAAGTCTTTATTTTGTATGAAATTACTATTGTTTTAATGTATCTGTTCTCCTCTTATAAACTACTTCAGGAAGCACTGTGCACTTG